AAGTGGATAGGGTGGTAAAGAAGGCGTATGGCATGTTTGCCTTTATCGGTTGGGGAATTGAGTCCAAGAGTCATGATATCATGTTGCAGCTTTATAGGACTTTGGTTTGGCCACATTTAGAGTACTGTGTTCAATTCTGGTCGCCACATTACAGGAAGGATGTGGAGGTTTTGACGAGTAGGCAGAAGAGATCTATCAGGTGTTGCCTGGATTAGAGGGTATGAGCTATGAGAAGAGGCTAGAAAAACCCAGGTTGATTTCTATGGAGCGGTGCAAGCTGAGGAGAGACTTGATAGAAGTGTATAAAATTATGAGATGCGTAGATTGGGTTAACAGTCAGAATCTTTTTCCCCCAGAGTTGAAATGTCTAACCTTAGGGGGCATGCATTTAACGTTAGATGGGAAAAGTTCAAAGGAGATCTGAGGGCAAATTTTTTTTAAACAGGTGGTAGGAGTCTGGAACGCAGTGCTGGGGTGGTGGTGAAGGCAGATATGACAGGGGCATTTAAGGACTTTTAGATAAGCACATGAAAATGCAAGGAATGGAGGGATATGGACCAATGGCAGGCAGAAATTTCATTTGGCGTCATGACCGAAGGGCCCATTCCTGTGCCATACAATTCTATGTTTTATGCCACATATCATCCTGTTGAGACTCAGCAAACTTCACTGACAATGGAAGTTAAACTTGAAACCCTGCTTAGTATACCACAGAACTAAATTGTCTGAGACTACTGTTCAAGAGATAAGCAGGAAAGCTGTAAACATGTATTCAGTGCACCATGATATCGATCATCTACTATTCTATTCTAATTTTTGTTAATGATTTGCAGGAGAAAGGGAAGTTGAGAGACAAACAGCAACTTAAGCTCTTCAAGAGGCGATGGCCTAGTAGTATTATCCTTGTGATATTGCTCCTTGATCTGCGCCCTCATAATCTGGACTATTTATCCAGAGACCCAAATAATGTTCTGGGGACCTGGGTTCGAATCCCACCACGGCAAATGGTGGAATTTGAATTCAATAAATATCTGGAATTAAGAGTCTAATGATGACCAGGAATCCATTGTCAATTGTTGGAAAAACCCATCTGGTTCACTAATGTCCTTTAGGGAAGGACTCTTAACCACCCTCTAGGCAATTAGGGATGGGCAATAAATGCTACCTAGCCAGTGACACCCTCAACCCGTGAATGAATAAAGATAAAGTGTGCACAGTATCTCTTGCTCCTTGATCTACTCCCTCAAAATCTGATACCTTAAAATTATACCAAAACAGGATGCTTTCCTCCTCCCTGCTACAGAATGAAAAATACAATAATGAGCACACTGTATCTTTAAATGAAGCATGTGACTAGGGTGCCTACTTTGTATCCTGCTGACTCACCCTACACAGATAAAATTACAAGGACAGGTTAAAGCAGAATGCAGGAATGAATGGAATGGATGATCAGACTCCGCTAATACCAGACAGAAGTGTTCTTGATACAGTGCCTGGTTCTTTTGATGTATTTATATGGTTACCACGTGAACAGAATAGCAAAGGCTGCTGCACTTCATTCAAAAGTTCCAAAGACAGAAGAAATACCCAGTTGTGCGTTTTTCTTTGCTTTTCCAGCTGAATAAGAGCTGATGGTGCAAAAAAGGACTAATGAAACAAACAGAGAGCCTCTTTTACAGAGGTAGACGTTTTCTTCATCAATTATAGTTGTGGAGGAACAGAAGTGTGAGGTAGTCATGATTAAGAGTTTACGGCACAATTTATCACCAGTTTCAAAGCCTTTCTGCAGTTCATTAGTTCTTGTCACAAAGCAAAGAATCACAAAAGTCATTACTTCATTTCAACTTGAGCTGAAACATATACTACTTTACAGATCTTATTGTATTGTAAACAGAATGGGGAGGGATTTTTATAGAAGGAAGAAATACCCCAGCACTTATCTGATAATGTAAAATGGCTGCACTCAGCTAATCATTGGCAAATAGAAATGTAGAAAGTCACCGTGAAAACAAATTATATTTAAAAACAGTATTTGCCAAGTCAGGAAACAGTTATTGCGGAGAAGCCAACCATCTGAAAAAGATTATTTTGCTTAAGGTATATACTGAGAGACTTACACTGCTTAACAAAGACCACTTTTGAGTTGATGCCATAAATGGTTATAGTTCATCCAGAAAGAGTTAATGTCAAAGATATCAGTTTGGATGATATTTGTGAAGATATCTTTAGATTTCTGTGACACCTAGACTGGGACTAGAGAGGTGGAACTTACAGAGGGTGTATCTGACTCAGAGGTGCAACATTGCCAATGTCCTTGCAAGGCCATTTGCTTGTGCTGTTGAGGAGTTTAATGGGAATGAAACTAGCATTAAAAAGGAGAAAAAGACATATAAAGGATTTGCACAGTCACAATGCCGAAGGAAGAAATAGTAGGGACGTGGGAGGAACAGGCTGTTCAGTTCCACGAGCCTGCCCCGCCACTGTATGCCACATTCCCTGCTCTCCGCATTCCTCTCGATGAGATTCCTAACTAGAAATCTATCAATGACCTGAGCTACCAGGGAGTACCGAATTGCAAAGATTCATATCCCCTGAGTGAAGTTTCTCTTCATCTCAATCCTTAATGATTTGCCCTTTATTTGGAGTCAGTGTCACTGGTTCTAATACTCACAGCCAGGAACCATCCTTTCTGCATCTACTCTAGCTATCTTCTTAAAAATTCTGAAAGTTTCTACGAGATCACCTCTCATTCTTCTAAACTCTAGAGAATACAGGCTCAGTCTTTTAAATCTCTTCTCACAGGATAATCCCAGCATCCCAGGAATCATTCTCTTGAACTTCCAATGCATTTGGCTCTGTGGCAAGCACATCTTTCCTTAGGTAAGAGGACCAGTACTTTACACAATTACAGTTGAAGCAGGATTTCTTTGCTCCTATACTCAAATCCTCTTGTGATAAGGCTATTATACCATCTGCCCTCTGGGTTGCTTTCTGGTTTTCAGTGTGCTATGAACAAGGACACTTTCCAGTCTCTCACTATTTAAAAATTACTGTACACCTGAGTACCTCCTACCAAAATGGAAAACCTCACACTTATCCACATAATATTTCATGTTCTGAAGAAGGGTCACTGGACCGTAAACATTAACTCTCTAAATGTTTTCTCTTCACAGATGCTGGCAGGCTTGCTGAGTTTCTCCAGCAATCTTATTATTTCTTTCAGATTTCTGGCATTCTGTGATTTATTATATTCGGCTTCTATGCTTTTGCCCACTCACTCAGCTTGCCTAAATCCCCTTGAAGCCTCTTCCCAATGAGTACTTTTTTTTTTAATCTGCAAAAACTGTAAATATTACAATTGATCCCCACGTCCAAATCATTGATACAGATTATGAACAGGTGGAGCCCAAGCAATGATCGTAGCAGTCTTTCACTGGTTACAGGCTGCTAATCTGAGAATGACTCATTTATTCTATGGTGGCTTTGGTGGTACGGTGGCTCAGTGGTACCAGGGACCTGGATTCGACTGCAGCCACGGGCAACCGCCTTTGTGGAGTTTGCACGTTCTGACCGCGCCTACGTGAGTTTCTGCCGGGTGCTCCAGTTTCCTCCTAGAGGCGAAAGATGTGCAGTTTAGGTGGACCAGCCATGCTAAGTTACCCCGTAGTGCCCAGAGATGGGCAAGCTAGATGGATTAGCCATGGTAAATGAGGGGTTACAGGGATAGGGTGGGGGGCTGAGTCTAGGTGAGATGCTCTTCAGAGGGTTGGCGCAGACTCAATGGGCTGAATGGCCTCTTTCCACACTTAGAGATTCTATGATGTGTGTTGTGGTGTCATGCTTCTTGAATGAGTCCTTGAACTCAACTATTCAATAAGAGCTTAAGTGTCACTAATACAGGAATAACATTTCATTGGCAATGGCTAATCTTCATCCTGCTTTTGCAACCTCTTGGAGCCTTTCATCAGGATAATAAATATGTCCAACATTCTGTTTTCCACCTGTTAACCAATCCTCAATCCATGCTAGTATGTTACTCCAAATCCCATGTGCTTTAATCTTGTTTAAAATTGTGGCTTTCCAACAGCTTTCTAGAAATGCAAATATACCACAGGCCAGAAGACGTAGGAGCAGAAGTAGGCCATTCAGCCCTTTGTGTGTATTCCGCCATTCAATGAGATCACGGCTGATCCAATAATCCTCAACTCCACTCTCCTGTCTTATTCCCATAACCCTTGATTCCCTAATGATTAAAAATTTTTCTCACAGCCTTGAATATTCTTAATGATCTAGCCTTGACAGCTCTCTGTGATTAAAGAATTCCAAATATTCACTACCCTCAGAAAAAAAATTCCTCATCTGTCTATTAACTGGACATTTTACTAGCTACCATCAGTTCTGAGGAAGGGTCATTGGATCTGAAACATTAACTTTGATTTCTCTTCACAGATGCTGCCAGACTGCTTGGCTTTTCCAGCAATTTCCATGTTGGTTTTACTCTTAGATACATTGCTTTCAGGAAATATAAGGGAGGAATGAGGAATAGCAGCGTTGATCAAGAAGAATATTACAATGTTTAACAGAGGTCATCCTGGAGGAATCAAGCCTAAAAAATTCATTTCGTTTGAGTCAAAAAGACAATGAAAGATACCATTAGTCTAATGGACATATTCGACAAGACACCCGGCGGGAAACATTTAGGAGCATTGCTGCAAGGAAATTAGAGGGTTGCAAAACTAGTATGTAGTTATACTGGAGTCTTTAAATGTCGTGACATAGACTAGGATAGCAAGGATGCAAAGAGCAGAGAGCTCCTGAAGGAAAATTTTCTTAGCTCAGAATATTACAGTCCAACAGATGAATCAGAAGCAGCAGTAGGCCATTCATCCCTTTAGGTTTGCTCCACCATTCAAGAAAATCATGGCTGATCTGATTGTAACCTCAAATCTAAATTCCTGCCTATCCCTGATAAATGCTCAGTCCCTTGCTTAATAGGAGCCATGGATGCATTGATGGATTTGGTTCTGGAGAACGAGGTGAGTAAAGTGGATCAAGTGTGAGTATAGGAGCTCTTAGGGAAATAGGATTTGTAGGGATCATCTGGAGACCTGGGCAAATGCTTCAGCTGACATTGGTTCACATCTCACTATGGCAATTTATGGAATTGAAAGGGGTCAATAAAAAAAATCTGAACTGAAAGCTAATATCAGTAATTGTCACTATGCAAACTTTGTCAATAACAAGGGGGCACAGTTTTTCCATAGCAAGATGGTGGTGTGGTGGTAATATCACTGGGCTAGGAGCATGTAATATCAAAGGATTTGGGTTGGCCATGGAAAAAAGAACAAGTAGCAATTTAGAGTAAAAACATGAAAAGGAGAGTGGCCAATTTGCAGTTGATAAGAATCTATCCTAGGTAAATTGGAATCAATTCACAACTAATATGATATGAAAATTGGTGGGGTGTAAACAGAAGTGGATAGCCTTAGATTACAAGAGGATGCAGACAGGCTGGTCAGTGGCAAATGGAATGCAATGTGGATAAGTGTGAAGTGATGCATTACAGCAGGACAAACAAGGCAAGGTAACACATGATCAACAACAGGATGGAGATAGCAAGAACTGCAGATGCTGCAGTCAGAGTCAATACAGTGTGGAGCTGGAGGAATACAGCAGGTCAGGCAGCATCAGAGAAGCAGGAGAGTCAACGTTTCAGGTCGGGACCCTTCAATAGATCCAGTCGTGATGAAGGATCCCGACCTGAAACGTCGACTCTCCTGCCCTTCTGATGTTGCCTGACCTGCTGCGTTCTGCCAGCTTCACACTGCATTGATTCAACTATAGGACCCTGGGAAAGACCAGGCATCAGAGGGCCCATGGTGCGCATATCCAATGATCTATTTGTAAAAACTGTAGAGATACTTAAAAACTTGGTGAGACACAGAATCTCATGTTAATGTTTATTCAGAGGAGGCTTTTACTTCGTGATTCATTAACATGCAAGGAGGAACTTTTGACATTATAATTAATCAGTGCCTTGAAGACATATTAATAAAAGAGGTGAAGATGCTCTACTGAACTCTGCATTGATCTTTTACGCCGGCTATGTCCACTGCAGATAATCATTTCCACCATAAACTTATCCGTATAGTCGGCATAACAGGTCAATGCAATAACTAGAACATTAAGCATTAGGATATGTGCCTGCTGAAAACGCAAACCCAAGTCTCTCAGTCAGTTCCACTCAATAGTCTACAAGCAAGTTGTTTCAAGTCCCATGAACATCGAATGCAGAAATGTGCCAACCAGCTTGTGTGCTGCTTAACAGACTTGCCTTACTGGTGCTTGAGATATTAAACACTTGCTACGGTAACAGAGTATTTTAAGCAATTACCAAGATCTCCCCAATTTCTTTGTGCAATTGGCAGCCTCAGCTTCTTACAAAGAACAAACTTAGCTGTTTTAAAAAAATCATTTGCCGTGCACATTTAATGATTAAAGCAAATGTGTTGCTCCATTGTTCTCCCTGAGGAAACATGAATCCAGCTGTTGTAAACCAACCTCAAGTTGATGTGGTAATGGATCTAAGTATACAGATTTTTTTGAGAAAACAAAAACTTGCGCACTCTAGTGAAAATGCTGCTGTATAGTCTATAAACTATTAAGATATAATTGATTTTCACAAAATGGAGGAGGAAAACAAACCACAGGAGGTTTTTAGATGTTGCCCTAGGGCTGTCATTATAGCCACTCAAGCAAAAACCAACACAGCATCTGCATTCAATCTGCTACCAGCCCACCAATCATAGTTACTGCAATTCGTGGTTTCATAATAAACTGATCTTATGCCCAGTACCAATAAGCCATTTAAGTAAAAGAATCAGTTCATTAAATTGGCTAAGCTTTGTTACATCAGTCTAACCTTACTTCATGATTGGTCCAAGTTTGAATGGCAAAGTCAATTTCTCTGTCAAAAGATCCTCCTTGGGTGTTAATGGGTATAAAATCCTCAATCAGATAAGCATGGACACCAGATTCTGCTTCACACCAAATTATTCAGTTTCTTATATAATTACAAACATTAAAAGGAAACATTCACTCTTTGCCCCATTGTGGATTTACTGATAAGAAAAACTGAAAGAACTGTAGATGCTGTAGATCAGAAACAAGAACAGAAATTGCTGGGAAAGCTCAGCAGATCTGGCAGCATCTGTAGAGAGAAATCAGAGTTAATATTTTGGGTCACGTTCTGAGGAAGGGTCACATGATCTGAAATGTTAACTGATTTCTCTCCATAGATGCTGCCAGACCTGGTGAGCTTTTCCAGCAATGTCTGTTTTTGTTACTGGTAAGAAATACTGTCAAACCTTATCACCTGAAAATTAAGACTATGCTTTAGTCCATGAATTAGTGGAGTCCAAAGGGGATGATAGTTGGGATGTAGAAACATGACAGAATGTTGTTCATAATAATATGGACTGGCTACAATCAACAGCAAAGAAACACAGAGTTTCTCTTTAAGCAGTTTGATCATTGAACTAGGAATCACCTATCAAGATTTACTCAAGATAGAAAAGTGGCACAGCTTGGAGGTATTCTTCATTAGAAGCATTCTTCTTTTCCAGCACTGATTTTAATTGACCTGATAGTAAAATAACTCACACCAGCCTTGCCACCTGATGTATCTGCTCTATTAGCTATATAAACAGATAGTATAATCAGTTGATTCAAATGAAAGAGTTAACAACATTTTACTGAAGTTCTAGTGTTACAATAAAATGAGAGAGATTTGAGTGTGTCTTTTTGAAGCAGTTAAGGACCAGCATTAATCTCAGAACAGGTTGGCAAAATAGTGCGTAGTATGAAGGGAATGAGAAAGGAAATAACTGAAATGGGATTTAAGGATTTGTGTTGGATGAGGATTTTTAAAAAATGTTGATGTTGATTCTCTTAACTGAAATATTCTTAAGTACCAAAAATACCTTCTATCTTCTTGATCAAGGGAAAATGCCATAAGAAGAGTGAACCTTGCCATAGTGTTAGGATTTTCACTTCTAAGTCAAGTGGTTGTGGATTCAAATCTCACTTCACCAACAGTCAGGGAACAAAGGTGAATTTCAGTCTCAGAACACTGAAGTGACTTCCAGCAGAGTACTTTTCTCCCCATCATTACAGATCATCAGAAAGGTCTCACCTCTGATAGTAATAAAAATGGTATTGTTTTGACACCGGTCCTGGAGGTGGAAGTCAAAGACACATATATACACTACGGTTATGGAAGCAATCCTAAATGATAAATGATCTGCAGAATGCTAAAAACAGTGAAGGGAACCTTTGTATTGAATGTACTCAGTGACTGAGGTCCACAGTCCTCTGAGGTAGAAAATTCTAAAGATTCACTGCTCTCCAAGTAAAGAAATTCCTCATCTCAATCCAAAATGCCCTTTACTCTGATATTTTTTAAACCCCCAGGCAGGGAGAACAGCAAAGATTTCCACATGTAAAAATTCTGTACACTGAGGTAAAGAAGCTTTTAAATAATAATTCTTCTTGCTCCAAACCCTATCTCAAACCAAAACTCAATGAAAACATATTCACCAATTAGATCTTAATAACACACTGAATAGGCTATTCTATAGGCATTTCTAATTACAAAGTCATTGAATAGATATATACCATCTCTGAACAGAAAGTGAACAGTTACAAATGTCATAAAAAAAATCCGTAATTAGTTCGCAAAGTTAACAAAAAGAGCATCTAATTTCCTCAAGTGCAAGTGAACAAATAGCAATGTAGGAAATAGGAGCAAAAGTCAGCTGTTTGGTCCCTTGAGCCACTGCACCGTTGAACAAGATCATGCCTGACCATTAAGCTTAATGCTATTTTCCTGCACTACCCCCATATCACTTGATATCTTTAACACTGTCCTTGGGGTAAGAATTCTTTGCTTTGATGGTAAGACTTGTGCGTAAAAAAATTACTAGCTTTAGAAGGCCAATACTTAAATGATAATTACACTCGGAGGATAGTGGCATTTCAGTCTCATAGATTATTTCCTGCGTTCATCCTTAATCAAGAGCATCAGCAGGCCTGACTTGAATTATCAGTCAACCCTTTGGCAGGATTAGATCTACAACAGGTTGTCAGCTGATATTACATCTTTCTTAATTGTGCAACTTTTTCTTTAAAGTTGAGCATAAAATGTTTCAGGACAACCTGACGGTATGACATACATAACCATTAATATATCTTTCTCATGCTCAAGCTCATTGAGTCACCATTCACAGGACAAATTTTAGCAAACATTCTCCCTTGTCAGCAATACAGAAACCAATAGTAGCCCCCTATCACCACTACCCAACTGAGATCTATTTATGCATCAAGCATTAGCGGTTGTTTGAGCAGCCATACTTTTATTAGAAATTTCTGGCTTTCAAATAAATAATGACAATCCAAATGAAAAGCTCTGAATTTGTTTCACCTTCACTGTAGCAAGACAAAAGCCTACAACTCCCCTCTGTTGGATTAGTCTCTGTTGGATTAAATTTCATTGCAGCAGCTCCAGAAAATGACTTACCACTATTGCTACTACTAGCTGGCAGGAAGGTATCTTTTCTTCCTCCTCCCAACCTGTTGCCCTCCTTCACCCATCAATGATATTTAGGGATGGGCAGTAAATTCTGACAATGCAAATGATGCCTACATTCCACGAACAAATGAAAATTAAAATTAACATACATCCCTTTCATCGGAGGTTACTGTATGTTAGGAACACAAGAATAGAACAAAATACAGGGAAAATATATAGTTTTGAGAAAAGCAGCATTCGTCAAAAAATATTTATTAATTTGATCCCAATTAATTGCTGCCACTTAGATTATTCATCTATGTGCATTGGAGTGGTTGCGTATACAACAATGCTATTTTACATGCTCGTCATCGTGTAATTAAATTATCCTATTATCAGAATTGAAATGAGGAAATCCCAAGAGGTTTCAATGGTGATGGGTTGATTTTAGTTACTCTAAACAAGCAC